AAAGGAGACAGCTCCAAAGTCAGAGGAGAAATGTGCCCTTGGATGGAGCTAGTATAGAGCATGACACAACCAATGCATCTCAACCCTCTCTGGATGTCTTCTGCAGAGCTTTGCAAACATCTGATGCCTTACAGAGGCCCATCCCCAGAGACTCAAGTTCACTCATCTTGAGACAGGAGGGAGAAAAGTTACACAGAGTAGAAAGGGAAAAGTCACTGCATCCATTTGTCCAGAACTCCATCTTTGGCTCAAGGAACTCAAAGTGATTTGTCAGGCTAGATGAGAAAAGGCAACGGTTTGCACTCCTTTGGCAAGTAGCTCTCCTTTAAGGGAGACAGAGCTGTGCTCATGGCATCCCAGAAATTAAGCTGTCAAGAGAAACTAGACGCTTACACTCCTCAGAGGGCAACCTTGTGGGACCGTGAGCAAGAGAGGCATCGAAGACCTTAATCAGAAGAAAAAAAGAAAAATGAAAAAAAAAAAAAAAAAAAAAAAACACGTTTTTTAAAAGGGGCTAAAAAACATAAATAACATTCTCATCTTACATTTGAATATTCCCAGTTCAAACAATTAGGACTACAAGTAATGAAAAAAATCTTGGTTTCGCTTACTTATTTACTGGAGGCTGTGGAGTCCACTAATCTCTCCAGAGCACCTTGCTATCCGCTATAAAGCCCTTGCTATCCGCTATAAAGCCCACCGCGGCAACAGCTCACCTTCATGTTCCAACACAAGCAACACAATGTCACTGCTCTTCTCAGAAGATTAACCATGTACTTTGTAATCAGTGACCATCACTGGAACACATCCCACCCAAGTGGAGCATTTGTCCTCTGCTCATCTGCATTAGCTGTGGGGAAACGCTTTGCTCTCTCCCACTGGGAAAAAAAAAAATCACTGTCTTCTTCGCATGCAGTTCTACTCAGCCTAGACAACTGATACCTAGCAACCAACTACAAAGTCAAGAAATGATGACACTCAACCCTGGACAACAACTTTCTGCCCTTCTACTGGAGAGACTGGTGTCTGGTTTTGATTTTGGTTTTGGTTTGGTTTGGTTTTTAAGACTGGGTTTCTCTGTGTAGCTCTGGCTGTCCTGGAACTCACTTTGTAGATCAGGCTGGCCTGGAACTCACAGAGATCCACCTGTCTCTGCCTCCCAAGTGCTGGGATTAAAGGCGTGTGCTACTACTGTGTGGTGAGACAGGTGCTTTTCTAAAACCAAGGAGGACTATCTCCAGATCTGAGTTCACATTACAGCAGAGGAGGAGACAGAGGAGCAAAGAAAGAGTCCTAGGTCCACCATAAAGAATCCTATAGAACCATGTCCCATGTGGGAGTAGGTAGGGCTAAAAGGCCACACCACCAAGCAGAAAAACAACTCACCCACCCTCATCGACTAGCATGAGAGAGAAAATCAGCAAGTCAGGCTTCTGAAACACTCACAGCAAAGGAAGGCACTCATAAACTGGGCTACAAAACCATAATGGCAATCCACTAGCTTTGGAACACACTGTCCAAATGATGGGATTGGCAGCATTTGGTTAGTACCTGAAATGTGGCCAATCTAAACTGAAACAGACTCCAAGCATAAAACATATACTGAACATCAAAGACTTAATAAAAAATATTTTTAAAATCTTAATTTATCCTGATTATATACTGAAACAATGGATTATGGGTTTAAATATCTTGGAAGGTGTACAAAGAAATTTTAAATTACTACATATAAAGCCCAAATACTTCTTTGTAGAGTGAGACAGAGAGAGAGTGTGTGCGTGTGTGTGTGTGTGTGTGTGTGTGTGTGTGTGTGTGTGTGTGAGATGTTACGGATCGAACACATAGGACCTTGTGTGTTAGACAAGAGCTCTACCACTCAGCTTAAGTCTTCTGGGTGTTTTGGTTGGTTAGTGTGGTGGGGGGGGGGGGAGTGTCATGAATTGGCTTGGAGCCTTGTGCCTGTTAGGACCACCTTGCTCCTGTGGTCCACATATGGGTAGTGCTCTTTTACCAAGTACAAAAACTACATCATGGGCATAGACACATCACATATGTATCATTTTGCTCTCTGTCATACTTGGTTTTTATCTGAAAGAAATTTATTATGCAACAGAACTTAATGTTTTCGTTTCTTAGTTTTGTTTGAAACAAGAGTCTCACATAGATCTCAGAGTGGCCTGGAACTACTTAGCCTAGGCTTGCCTCCGGCTCACACCAATCTGTCTCTTTGCTGGGAAGAAATGGTTTCAAACCATGAAAATAACATTCTGGTATCCTGACCAGGACTGGTATTTAAAGGTCTTAGTGAGGTGTAGTTTCTTATAAAAGATGACCACCACTCCCTCTGTCAGTGTCCCTCAAATGTAACAAGAACTGTTTAGGTGGTTTCAACTATGCAGCTGTCCCCACACATCACGGGGAAGACTGAGTAAGTTTGTAATTCCAGTCACTGTGACCATTCAGTAGAGAGGGCCTACCATCCTTCAGGCCTGCCCACCCAGACGCTGCTCAGGGTCCACCAGGTTATATTTCTTCTTCTCTAGTCGATTCCAGTGTCATGAGTGCAAACTCACTACATGACCTGGGGCAACCCCTTCACTCCTAATCCTGGGAAATGACAACAGTGTATGAATGTCTACAGTGTGTCAAGAGTGTTTCACACTACATTAGTAAGTTATTATTCACCTCACTGTTCCCCCTCACAAAAGGGAACAGTGAAATGATAGCCAGAGAAGTAACGTGTGACTGAACAAATAACCCTGTGAAGTTCACTTCCTTAGTTGTACACCAGAAATAAAACCCCCATCTTAAAAAGGGTGCTGATGATCAAACAAGGGAAAGCTGGGTGCTGGGCACTGAGAAAACACGAGCCCTCCAGACTCTCCTGTCTGGGAGGGATTCAGTCCTCCTTATCTTAAAAACTAGGGATTACACCTATAAGAGTCTATGCACCTGTAACCATTGATTGTTCTAAAGAAATAAGATCACTAAAAGGTCTGAGAATCTGTTGTAAGAAAGTGGGCTTTTTCCTCTCTAGATTTTTTTCTGGTAAACAGTAGTTCACTATTACCAAGTTTGCACTGAAGTGGCTACAGTGTCTAGTTTCCTGGCATCTGAAAAGGAGTAAACCAGAGATGCCTAAATACAAGGAAGAGTGAGAAATCCCCCAAGACTCCTCCATTCCCAGCAGTTTGGTTCCTACTGCCCAAAGGAATGGCTTGCAATGTGTCTTATCGTTATTGAGTTCGGGTTCCTTGCCTCTTCCAGCCTACAAATAAAGTCTTTATTGTAAACTGCTGATGCTTCTCCTTCAGGTTAGGCATTTCAATTCATTGGAAACATGGATTTCTCTCCTTTCTCCATTCCATGGAATTTATATGCAATGGCCCCATCTACCTCAAAAGGCAAGCTGGTTGATGCAGTTGTAAGAGAATTGTAATTATATTATGCTTAATTTTTTCCTTAAGTCACCAAAGCTGTGACATTCTAAAGTTGCCTAAGTAGTGCTAAACATTCTACTCACTGCACACTTGGACTCAGGTGTCTCATGAACAGAGATATATTTGGACACTGATGTCCTTGGATGGGTTTCAAATGGATGAGGGATGGCAGGAAACTTTCAAGCATTAGGCAGTGGGCTGGTCAATAACATCAATTATTTCTCAATGTCTACACAGTTGTTAGGAGGTTTAGCTGTTTTGCTTTTGAAGCTTCTGGTTTTATGTTGGGATCAAGTTTGCGCTATGTACCTTGAACACCTGAGATCAATTGCTCCTTCCACCCCAGCCTCCGGAATGCTGAAACTAACAGTGATTGCCTCAGCTTCTGAGTATCTGCACAAGTCAAGTCCATCGGGAAGCTTAGTACCACTGCATTACAGGGTCTACGGAGTTCAGAGGTCTCCCAATCACTCAGACTCCCAATCAATGCTCAAAAAATATGTGCAGGAGATAACCATTTGGGGACAGTTGTCTGAATTCTCTATATAAATGCAACCTTTTTCTCTTTGTACCCCAAACACATTTCCCCTGTGCTGTGTGACATAGGGCACATCTACCTACATCTTCTATTCCTGACCACTTTCCTTCAATATCCAGGACCTGATTTGTAACGAATGCTTAGTAATGTCTGCATTAAACTGGAGTTCACGAGCACAGTGAGCTGGGTTTATGTAAAGCCACAAGAATCTGGACATCGAGCTTAAACTGTTTTATTAAAAATACTCCAAGATAAAGCAAAAATCTACGTGGAATTTAAGCAAGCTGACAGCTTCCAAATTCAGGGCGGTGCCCCTGACAGCCAGGTGGAGAAGTTCCCTATATGCGCTACAGGCTCTTCACCAAAAGTAAGCAATCCAAGCTCTGCACTAAGTGCCATAACTTTGGAAAGGCTGACAGCCCTTTATCAGGGGTCAATGGTCACCAGTAACATTTACAAGTGAGGGAACAAACAGCAGGCTAATCTTGCCCAGACATCTCAAAGTTAATGCTGAGTACATAGAAAGGCTCTCTTCAGTTGTTGGCCAGAAGTATTACCTAATCAAGCTCTTTGCTTATTTAAGCGCTGGGGCCCTTTGATCACCTCCTAGAATGGTAGCGAGCATCCACCCTCACATAACTGCTTCCAAAGTTCAGCAAGGACCCCTTAAGGACTCTAAGTACACAATAATCAGAAGCAACCCTGGGCTCAGGGCGGAAGCTCTTTACACCTCAAGTATACAGCTCGAAAGTGCGGTTGTGCAACCCTCACCGGAATCTCCCTCCACCGTGGGGTTTCTGCACTCTCGTGAAGGGCTTCCCACAAACTAACTGCCCAGAACTTTCTGAACTTTTCTCCACTCCAACCTGCTCTTGGAGATGAGTGCAGGGCAAACATCCCGAGAGGGAGCAGGACTACAGGGCCAGCCCTCTGCACTCCCAAGTCCACTCCAGGCAGGAGCCGGCGGGATGGAGGGAGGCGGGACAGGCGCACTCTGGCCCGGGGCCCACTCCCGCACTCACCTTGGCAGACGTCTCCCCGAACAGAGGTCTGTTGTCCAGGCCGCTGGTCCCGTAGGTCCTGGTAGTAAAATCCTCCATTTTGGGGCTGCTTCTCTCGTCCGTGGCCGCTCAAAAGCGAGTCCGCATCAGCTCGCCCGCCCCTCAGGGCGCACGCATGGCCCTGGAGGGGTGGAGGGGGACGGGAAATCCCGACGGGGCGACCGTCAGTCCCGGGGCCCGCGTCCGCTCCGCCTCGGCCCCGCCGTCCTCATCTCCAGCGGCTGCCGCAGGAAGTGAAAAGAAACAAACAGCGATTGCCTTGGCCGACGCCCCGCCGGCCGCCCCCGCCCGCTCCCGCCGCCCCCAATCTCTGCTCGCCTCCCCTCGCCTCGCCTCGCCTCCGCGGGGACAAACTTTTCCCGGCCCGAGTCCCCCGGCGCGGCGGGCGGGCGGCAGGAGTGAAGTTGCGGGCGAGCGCGCCCCCGCACGCCTCCCGGGCTCCGCTCCCAGCGTCCCGTCCCCGCCGGCGCCCGCTCCCCACGCTCCCGGCAGCCCCGGCTGCGCCCGCCAGCCCGCCCGCAGCCCAGACCTCGGTGTCGCGGGCCACGCGCGCGGCGGACCCCGGTGGCGCTCGCAGCCGCCGCCACTCCGAGCCGCGGCTCCCAGACGCCGGCGAGACCCCGGGGCTCTCGGATCCCGGACCCGCGGCCACTGTCGCAAACCGGTCGGGCCCGCCCAGGCCGCGTCACGACTCGGGCAGCCAATCCCACGGGCAGAGACGCCGCCTAGGCTGCCGAGCTTTATTTGCAGAGCTGCGGGTTCTCCGCCGCCCGCCCTGCGCGGGGCTCCGCAGCCACGCGTTTCTCCGCCTCTGGGCAATGAGCGGCTGCGCCGTGCACGTGGCCCAAGCACGGTTCCGAAGACACCGCGAACTCGGCGTCTTTTAAGAGGGGCCAGCTTTGACCACGCCAGCGTTCGCATTTGAACACTTTTTAAGTACCGGAAGCATTGGCATTTTGTGTGCTTGTTTTTATTCTGTGTCACGTAAAGAATTAGAGGTCCCAGTTTACATAAACAGGAAGAAACGGTGCTCGATATTTCTTAGACTGGTCCAGTGAAGGTGCTGACTAAGCACGTTTGCTGCCATGGCCTCTTTGGGGGTCTTGGGGCTTAGAGAGCAGGATGGAAGTGAACGAGCTGCAAAAGTACAGGTCGCTCTACATTTGGAGATCTTTATAAAAACCAAACAGCTACACGGATTTGTCCCAACACTATAATACCTAGATTCAAGAGAGCCCTCGAAGTGTTAACGTGCAGGAGACCCTGAGCCACGCAACGCTTAGAATCTAGCCACGGTTCCAGTGACCACGCAACAGTTTAGAACAAGGGATGGGAGAACAACCACAAAGAATTCCAACACTGAGTACACTTAAGAATTTTACGTATCCCGATCTGCCAATCACTGTGTTTTTCCAAATTAGCTGTTTACCCACTTTTCCTGAACAACAGCAACACTGCATAATCCGGCACCCAATTCTATTAAAAGGTTCATCTGGCCCATACATAACTTCACACACTTATATTCAGCTACATTTAAGAAAATATTTTTGAGGCTCTCACCTGTAATCCTGACTGGCCTGAGGAACGTCGGTTCCAGATCAGAAGACTAGCCTACACAGCAAGACCCTGTCTCGATAGATAGATAGATAGATAGATAGAGATAGATAGATAGATAGATAGATAGATAGATAGATAGATATCCTTCCCATATATATATATATATATATGTATATGTATATATATATATATATATCTTTGAGGCTACAACATCAAAGTTGAAATATAGTACAATCAAAATCCCTAAAGTCTAAAATTCAGAAAGGTCAAAATTGTGCAAATAAAATTCTGGAAAAACTTTAAATTTATTTATTTATTGATTCTTTGTAGATTTCACATCATATACCCTCATCTTCCCATCCCTTCATATTCACCCTCTGTCTTTGCAACCTCCTCCCAAAAATAAAATAATAACTAAACCTCATTGTGGAAGCTGTAAGCATGACAGAGTAAGCCTCACAGTATTCTCTTCCATACATCTTTACTTGCAAGTAAGTGTTCGTTGCTAGGAGTCATTGGTCTGGTTCAAGGCCTCTGGCTTGTGCTACACTATTGATACTGCCCCCCCCCCCCCCCCCCCCCCGACTCCCCTTGGATGCCCTGTTGTCCTGTTTCATGGAGATTCTGCAACTTAGGTCTGCAGGACTGGACCCTCCATGTGCTCCAGCAGATCATAGATGAGGTGGGTGCTGCCTGAAACAATTCATAGACCTAAGTCTGGGTCTGGGTGGTAGCTAGGTAGGTCAGTCCACCAGCTCTCCCTCATCCTCAACACCAGGGTGAGATCTCCAGCCCTGCCCAGCTAGCTCACACAATGCAGCAGGCAGCAAGGGTATCATTAAAAGAGAATTAATTTCAAAAACATAAGAGAACATAGGCAACTTTTATGGTAAAATAGATGAAAACATACATATGTTGAAATATATGCACTCCATGTATCCTTACAAGAGTATTTGCTATTAAATGTTTGCCTCTGTGCCATGCTGATGGGATGCCTGGACTGTGGAGGAGGTAATTAGAAGACATCACCTAATCGTCACAGGTTGGGCAGAAATAGTTCTGGTGACTGAACAGAGTAAATGCCTTTGTTCTACTCTGCACACAATAATTTTCAAACTTGTAACTTCACTGGCTTCATCACTCAAGTGTTGCTTGGTCCACTAAAAGCTACTAAAGTGCCAGAAAGTGAAACGAGCTCATCCGTTGTGTGTATTGCCTTTACTGAGGACCCAGTTTGTTTCCCAGCATCCACCAGGTGACTCACAAACATCTCTCACTCCAGTTCCAGGTGATCCTTCGCCCTCTTCTGACCTCTTCAGGCACCATGTGTACATACGGAATACGGAACACATACACACATGCAGGCAAAAATTCTTAAACACAGAAAAATTATTTTTTTAAGTTAAAGTTCCTAGAATGTCAACAGCTCAAATGCCAATGTAGATTAATGACAGATATTTCAAAAGAGAGAGAGAGAGAGAGAGATAGAGCATGTATGTGTATGCACCTGGCCAAGGAGGCTAGAAAAGGGTGTCAATTCCCATGGAAATGGAGTTATACAGGCAGCTATCAGGCACTCACTATGAGTGCTGGGAATTGAACTCAGGTCCTCCCCCACGAGTATCCAGATCTCTTAATTGCTGAGCCATCTCTCCAGCCTCCTAAATCACATATTTTGAAACTAAAATGTTTGTTGCTACTGAAGTCCATGGCCAGCTCCCTCCACAGAATTAACATTTCTACTGCTGACTCAAGAGCCTCTTGGGGAATTGTGATTTTCAAAACTTTGCTTTCAATGTTGCAAAATTTGGTATTTTCACCTTTTGAGATTAAAATTTGGGGGATTATGGCCTAGGAGCTTTGGCCATTCAGGATTATTGTCTTAGGCTTTACTTATGGTTACCAGCTGGTCTACACATAAGCGTGGGCATGGTCTTGAGGCTGAAGAAGACAGAGCGAGGGCTCACAATCTAGGGAAAGGAGAATGCATAGCACTAGCTTTCCTATTGATGACCTCACACCTGATGCCATCACCTACAAGCTGTGTGACCTTGGACCAGTTACCTAGCCTCGATGGAACTCCTTCCTGTGTAAAGAGTGAAGATGAAACCCTGCATAGTGGTGTGCTCCTAGCACTTAGGATGTAGAGGCAAGTGGATCTCTGTGAGTCCTAGGCCAGCTTACTCTACATAGTGAGTTGCAGGACAGCCAGAGCCATATAATGAGACCGTCTTGAAAAACAAAAGTGACAATGATAATAAATGGAAATAAATAACCTCAACTATATTTAAAATATTTGATATGAATACATAACACACAATAGTAAGTTTCAAAACAGTGGTGGTAATACATGGTGACAAGTGCTGTAATCTGATGTTGCTAAAATTCCTTCCCTGAGTGGACATAAACAATATATAGTCATCCTCCTAATGTCTCAGTGATAAATCAAGCTACATACAACTCCACCAAAGTCCCCCTAGGGCACTAATGAGTGTATTAAGCTTCTATAACAATGGGTGAAGGGTTACAAACAAGAGCATAAATGACCTTAAAGTAGCCATACTGGAACAGCTGTGCTCAATGGGGATGATGGCTTCCCCAAGGCTATAAAAAGGAAGCCCCTCCCCTCATTCCTACCAACCTACATCCTCTAGCCTTTCCCCCTAGTATCCCTACCTAGTCCATGTGTAATTGGTGCAGAGTCATATGCAACTGTTTATTTGGGAGAGGTGTCTGGATACTCGGGTGAGGGCATGACCTTCACCACACAGCTTGAGGGAGGGGAAAGAATCAGAAAGCCCAACTGTGATGATCTCGTGGAAGCAGATCCATGTAGTTGGTTGTTTTTACTCTTTGTTGCTCTTTATTTGGGGGCCTGCCACCCAGCTCCCAAATAATCACATGGAGACTTCTCATTACTTAAAAATGCCAGGTCTTAGCTTTTCTTAACTAAATTATCCCATCTGCCTTTTGCTTTTATCTTTCTCTATTCTATATGCCTTTCTTTACTTCTTACTCTGTGACTTGATGTGTAACTAGGTGGCTGGCCCTGATGTCCTCCTCCCCTTCTTTTCTCTATCCTCGATCTTCTCTTCTCAGATTTCTCCTTCTCTTGATTGTCTCTGCCTGACAATCCTGCCTGTCTTTTTCCTGCCTAGATATTGGCTGTTCAACACTTTATTAGACCAATCAAGTGTTTAAAACAGGCAAGTAACACAGCTTCACAGAGTTAAATAAATGCAATATAAAAGAATGCAACACATCTTTGCATCATTAAACAAATATCCCACAGCATAAACAAATGTAAAACATCTTTAACTATTATTCTATAATAGACCCCAGCAGAACTCCTTAAGATTCTGTTAATTTAGCTAGGATGTCAGCCACATACTATGCTGTGGACCAATAACTGAACAGGATGAAGTTAGGTAGGAAGGCCAAACTAAGAATAATGGGGAGACGGGCAGAGTCAAGGGAGATACCAGCCAGCCACCAGGCAAACAGGACATATAGAAAATGAGGTAACAAGCCCTGAGCCACCTGGCAAAGCATAAATAGAAATGTGGTCTAATTTAAGAGTTGGGTAGTAATAAGCCTGAGTTATTGGCCCAGCATTAAGCCTCTGAGTGATTGGGGGTGGCTGCAGGACAGGAAAACCTCACCTACAATGCTACATCTGGACAGTGCATGATGAATATGTGAGGGATGCCCACTGGCTTCAAGAGGCAGGAAAGAAGACTTCTAAACCAAGACCCCAAAAAGAGTATGAACCAAGATGAGGAGAATAAGGAGGCAGGCATCTTCGCGTAGGGTGTGCTTGGGAAGAAAGGTTGACTCGGAGGCAAAGACCTTACTCTACCAATGCTTCTTCTCTGGGTCACCAACTCTAAATTTCCCACATAAATTTCAGGGTTCTCATGATCCCTACTCCTGCATGTTTCCCCCAATGGCTATCACTTGTTTGGGTGCTAAACTTGGGGGAGATGGACCTATGGTATAGCTCTATGGCTCCTCACTGTTTGGCAGGCTCAATGTGATTTTCTACTTCAGTTCCCATTGTCTTAGTCATTGTTCTAATATTGTGAAG